TACTGTCCCATAGCATCTACTAGGCCACCCCATGGATTTATTGGGTGAGTAGATGGAACAGTGGATGGTCCAATTCCTTGGTCTCGTCCAATATTACGAACATGTGGTACTTGTTCTGAAGTGCTGGTCTGTTCGACCATAGGTTCTGATAAAATGGGAGTTTTCACAGGATGTGTTATCACATTATCCTCTGGATTAGGTATCTCTTCCTCTCCTTCCACGCCTTCTTCCAAGCATTTATTTTCTCCTTGTCTTCTATGTCTAGCCATTTCAATTAGTCCCACTGGGCGTGCCAAAAATATATGTTGGCTTTTTGGCTTTCGAAGGTTATTATTGTAATTGCGAGTGTGCCAGCAAGGATCAATTAATCCTTACAGAAAATTAATTGCCAACCAATTATCATACGATTGTATTTTAGTTCTTTCAGCCTCAATGAAGAGGACTTTTACTGGTGGCTTGATTTAGGAGAATTAAGCAAAATAACAATTAAATGAAGAACAGTTGAAGTATTTCATTAAAATGAAAAACTTACAATGATCCAAACTCAGCATCGCAGAGGTTTACAGCAACAATCTACTTGAAACTATTCCTATGAACGAAGTGCGGGGCAGGAATTTAAAGTACAGGAAATGTAAGACTAGAAATGTAAAATTGGAAATGTAAAATAAGTAGAATAAGACTGGTTTTTTGGATTTGAGTCTGGGGGATGTTTCTGGGGCCTTCTCTGCAATTTATACTGCTAAAGAATGACTATCGAACTGCATTTCTAACTGTCAAACTGCTCCTCCATGATCACTGATCATGTTGCCTCAAGATTAGCTCCATTACGCCATTACTTGCAGTTAGGCTTCCCTCATAAATTTGAATTTGAAATGTGAGTAACCGTTGAAGCCACATCACCTTGCATCTCTTTGTTGATCCACTGCTATTCAGATCTCGTAATAACCAATACTAATTGCCACGTGTACGATCAGGATTGAAGACTTGAATAGTCTTCCTATATTATCCTTATTTTGCCACGTGTCGAATTGTAATTGGCTTATACAAAATATGTAGCCAACACTTACTTGATTGCCTAGTGAAGTGTTTGCACAATTTCTTCTCTTTTTCCTTTCTTCTACCACCAAAGCTCTCTTCCTCTCTTTTCTCTCCCTCAACTGAAATGTGAGTGTGTGAGTGTGTTTTGTGCTCAAAAGTGTAGGGAGAATTGGTGTATTTATAGAAAAAAAAAGGAATGGTGAAAGTTCAAAATGTCCTTGGTTGGAATTGGGAAAGAATTTGTAATTGATTAGAATGGAATGAAATGGAGGTTGATTTAGAAGGTTAATTATAGCTTAGAACATGATTCAGTCCTAGTTTGGTCAATATAGAACTAGATTGAAAATTAGTACAAACACATCTCCATGATTTAGGGATTTAGTCAAAATTTCTTTATGAAATCAAGCATTCATGTTCCAAAAAGCACACAACAAGGAATCCCTCTAGGGTGGCCAGCCATGTACAAGGAATTTCGGGGGATTTGTTTTGATTTTTTGTGTAAAATTTGAAGATATTTTATGTACAAAATTATTTATTTTAGAAAGGTACAAGTATATATATATGTGTGTGTGTGTGTGTGTATGTAATTGTTTTAGTTTGGGGTCAACATGTGATTCAAAAAATATGAGGGCCAAAATCTTAATTTATGAATTTGAACATTTAATTAAGTGTAGTATTTAATTTAATTAAGATTTGAAAATTCAATTTGGTTAAAGTTTCTTTATTTTGGATTAAACGGTGAATCATGCTGAGAATTGAAAACCTAAGTTTTTTGTGTGTAAAATATAATTAGAAAATTAATTTAATTACTATTAGGGTTTTGGAAATGATTCTTGAGCTCTGGGTTCAATAAGGGTTTTCGAGTTTTTGGTTAGCGTGCATGTTCAACTCTATAACTAGAATTAAAAACAAATAAGGATTTGAGGGTCTTTATTGAAAGATTTCAAAAGTCAAGGGCCTTAATAGGTTTTACAAAGGTTAGGAGCCTCACACTAGGAGCCCTGCATCTTTGCTCGAGCGACCATTAGTTCGCTCGAGCAGTCCACCTTGACTTGCAAAACTACTGGATGCTTTCAATCTTCACTCGAGCGGCAACCTGGAACAAAATGTCATAATCTTTCCCCTTTAGGGAATTTCGCCTCGAAATTACGTCAATTCTCAACACGGTAACCAAGATATGATAAAGATGTTATACTTAGTCATTTCTAACAATCCCTAAATGAACAACAGACCATTGCTAGTAACAAAGAAAGAAAGAACAAGTAATGGAAGAAATAAAGGAATGTGTACATCACATATCAAGACACAAGTCCGGGTATTTCTTACGAACTTTGACTTCGCGTTCCCAAGTTGCTTTTTCCACCCCGCGATAGCGCCACAACACTTTGACTAGTGGAATGGTCTTACCCCTTTACACTTGCTCCCGTGTATTGAGAATTTGGATTGGTCTTTCTTCATAAGATACATCTTCATCAACTTCAATCTTTGTCCAATCTAACACATGAGAGGGATTGGGTTCATATTTGTGAAGCATTGATGCATGGAACACATTATGCACCCTGGAGAGTTAAGGTGGTAAAGTAAGATGATAAGCAACTTCTCCTATTCACTCACTAATGTCAAAAGGGCCAATAAATCGGGGAGATAACTTTCCACTCCTGCCAAATCTTATCAATCCCTTTATCGGAGAGATCTTCAAAAACACATGGTCTCCTATTTCAAAAGATAATGGTTGTCGCCTCCAATTGGCATAGCTATTCTAATGGCTTTGGGCCGTGATCAATCTTTTTTGAATAAGAGCTACTTTCTCCGTAGTCTCACAAACTAACTCGAGCCCAAGCATTGGCAAATCCCCTACTTCTGTCCAACACACTGGTGATCTATAGGGAAGTCTGTAAAGATCTTCGAAAGGTGCCATCCCGATACTAGCCTGGCAACTATTGTTCTAAGCAAATTCAACTAAGGGTAAGTGTCTTTCCCAAGACCCTTTGAAATCTAATCCACAGGCTCTCAACATGTCTTTTAGTATTTGTATGGTACGCTCGGATTGTCCATCGGTCTGAGGGTGATAAGTGGTACTGAAATTCAATTGATTTCCCAAAGCACTTTAAAGACTTTGCCATAGTCTAGTTGTAAAACGAAAGGTCCCTATCAGACACTATGCTTACTAGAACTCCATGGAGGCGAATAATCTCACAGATGTAAATTTCGGCTCAATACTCTATAGTTCCCCACACTCATGGCGAGAAAGTGAGCTGATTTGGTAAGTCGGTTTTTAATTACCCATATCGCATCATTACCTCTTTGTGTTCTTGAAAGACCCATAACAAAGTCCATATTGACATGTTCCCATTTCCACTCGGCAATTGGAAGGGGTTGAAGCAATCCTGCAGGTTTTTGATGTTCAGTCTTGACTTGTTGACAGGTTAAGCACTTTGACACATACAAGGCCACATCTTTCTTCATACCCCTCTACCAAAATTGTTGGCTAAGATCATGATACATTTTGGTGCCTCCTGGATGCACCGCAAGGCATGAGTGATAGAATTCTCGCAAAACTTCATCCCTCATGGATCTAGGTACAAATAATCGGTCAAAGTATCGAACACTAGAATCAGTATAAATGTTCAGACCCTTTCCTTCTTTTCCTTTTGAGATTCTCTCCCGAATTGACTCCACTTCCGGATCATCCAGCTGTGCTTCCCTTATTCGTACAACAAGTGTGGGTTATGCGACGGTGGCAAATAGGATGGCTTACTCAGAAGACTCATGAAGTTGTAAATCAAATTCACCGATATCCCTCATCATCTTCTTTTCCCTTATCGCTAGGCTGGCTATAGTACTTACAAATTTTCTACTTAATGCATCCACCACAACATTGGCTTTTCCGAGAAGATAGTATATCTCGAAGTCGTAATCCTCTAAAAATTTAGTCCATCTTCATTGACGCAAGTTCAAATCCTTTTGAGACAATAGGTACTTAAGGCTCTTATGATCGGAAAATACTTCAAATTTCTCACCATATAAATAATGTCTCCAAAGTTTCAAAGCGAAAATAACTGCGGCAAACTCAAGATCATGCATCGGGTAATTCCTCTTGTGAGTTTTTAATTGGCGTGAACCATAAGCTACCACCCTACTTTCTTGTATTAAAACACAACCCGACCCTTCCTTAGAGGCATCACAATACACAGTATACCCCAAGCCACATTCTGGAATGATAAGAATAAGGGTGGTAGTCAATCTAACTTTAGTTCCTGAAAGGATTTCTCACAAGCTTCACTCCAAATGAACTTTACTCACTTACGAGTCAATCTCGTCAAGGGTGATGCTATGGAAGAGAAATTCTTTATAAATCGACAGTAGGAACCAGCTAAACCCAAGAAATTATGAATTTTTAAAGCATTTTTGGGTTGTTCCCAATTCTATCTTTGCAGAATCCACCGTAACCCCATCTCTAGAGACTACATGGCCCAAGAACTTCACCTCTGGAAGCTAAAACTCACACTTCTCATATTTTGCATATAAGCTATGTTCTCTAAGTATTTGTAAAACACTATGGAGGTGCTCTTCATACTCCTCTTCAAAAGGCGAATAGACAAGAATGTCATCCACGAAAACGACCACAAATTTATCAACAAACTCTCGAAAGATTCGGTTCATTAGGTCCATAAAGGTAATTGCTACGTTAGTTAAACCAAATGGCATAACCAAGAAAACATAGTGACCATATCTAGTACGAAAAGCCATTTTAAGAATGTCCTACTCCCAAACTCGTGCCTGATGGTACCTTGGCCTTAAATCTATCTTCGAAAAATAATAGGAACCTTTGAGTTGATCAAAAAGATCATCTATCCTTGGCAAGGGGTATTTGTTCTTAACCTAACTTGGTTTAATTTACGATAAACTATGCACAATCTCAATGACCCATCCTTCTTCTTAGTAAACATGGTCGAAGCTCCCTAAGGTAAGGTACTAGGGCGTATGAAGCCCTCACTTAGCAACTCTTGTAACTGTTCCTTCAAAACCACCAATTCAGTTAGAGCAAATCTATAAGGCGACAAAGAGATAGGTGTTGTACCCGATATCAAGTCTATAGAGAATTTGACCTCCTGATGAGGGGGTAACTCGGTGAGGTCTTCAAAAAAGACATCGGGATACTTGCAAACTACCCTCGGAAACTCATCCCGAACCTTACCATTTCCATCATCTAAGAAGGTTGCCAAAAGAGATCTAAATTCACCCCGACCACTTGGGTTGTACAATGAGAGTAAAGATCTATTGCTTCTATCTCCCCAAAATGTAAAACAATCACTGCCCAATGTGCATACCATAACTCTCCCACGATAACAATCGATAATATCCTGGTAAGAAGACAACCAGTCCATGCCGAGAATAACATCAAAACTCGACATATTTAACAATACAAAACTGAAAGGAAGTTGTTGACCAGCGACCTCAATGATACACCCACAACATACTCAATTCAAGATAACTTTACTCTCAACAGGTGATTCCACCATAAGTGAAGACTCCAGTTGTTCACTTTCTAACCCCAACAAGGATGCAAATGCAGTTGCTATAAATGAATGGGATGCCCCAATATCTATCAACACACTAGCCCAAGTATTGAAGATGAGGTAAGTACCTCTCACAATAGACAGTCCTAAAGACTGCTCTGATGCAGTGACGGCATAAACCCTTCCCTGTGATCTCTGCTCTCCTATATCACCTCTTTGAACATAAGTCTGCTGTGTCGATTGTGCAAATGAGGCTCCATGTACTGCCCTGGATGCTTGGCCTGACTGGACCAGTTAATAAGATTGTCTCTATCCTTGGCCTATCTGAAAACCACCTGGCCCCTATTATGCTTGTTGACCCCGCTTTTTGTGGACAAAACTTGTTTGAATGCCCTGGTTGACTACATTGGTAACAAGATGGTAACTGACCCCTATTCTGAGACTGGCTCTAAGAACGAGCAGATTGAGACTGTAGTCCACCCTTCTATCCACACTCCGTAGCTTTGTGACCCAGCTGGCCACATCTATAACATGCGCCACGGATTCGACCAGTCCTCCATGAACTTCCACCCATCACCGAGTCGGAAGATTTGGTCTTTGATGGGAATGACTGAAATGATGATGATGAACCCTTAGACTTTTTAGAAGAGCAGAAGTTGCCTTGGGACTCAGAATGTCTATCCCTCTTCAGTTTCTGCCTTGCCTCCTTTGCCTCCATCATGATTTCCACGTGGGTTGTAGCTTCCACTAGACAGTCATAATCACGAATCATATTGCCTACCACTTTCATTAAAAAATTTGGCGTTAGCCTCTTCTGAAATTCTAGGCATCAATGTTCTTCCATTGCTATTAGTTTGGGTGCAAAATGAGATGAACTCGTGAATGTGGCTTCAAACTCAGCCACAGGTGTATCAAGCTGTCTTAACTCTTCAAATTGTTTCCTCAGTCGGTTCCTAACAGTGGGAGGGAGAAACTTTTCTTGGAATGCGTGTATGAAAGCCTCTCAAGTGTGCTCAACTTTGTTCTTGACATACTCCCACCATTGTCCAGCCTCTCCCTTCAACTAATAAGCCATTAATTCCACCTACAATTCGTCTTCACGGATATCCAAGATCTCAAAGGATTTTACAATTTGTTCCAACCACTTATCCGCTTTCATCGGGTCGAGTCCATTGCTGAACTCAGCGGGATTCAAATGAAAGAACTCCTTTTTCAGAAAGGAAGCTCTAGTTTCCCCGTTGACTGTCCTAGCCGTTGCTAGCCACTTGCTTGGCACTAAGTATCTCCATAGATTCTCTAAGAGCCCCTGCCATCTCTCTCACCAAGGCCCCCATTGTATCTTGGGCGGCTGAGGCGGGTACATTGTTTTGACCCACTCCTTCTTCTTATGGAGGGATCTCCGGTTGGACTGGAATGTTCCGGCCTTCCCGACAGAGTCTGCCACGGCCTCTAACACGCTCGGACATCCTATAAGAAATAGAGGTGATATTAAGCTCACGACTCACTTTCCACACTTAAATGTCCCACTCAAAATCTATATACACTTCACACATTTCAAACACGTGTCTGTACATGCACCTACATTCACGTAAAACAAACCACATAGACACATAGTCACATAAAGCACATATGGGGTCACCCTCCTAGGATACTAGCTAGTTCCATGGCAATCAAGGACCTCCAAATGGAAAGTGCATTGATCAAGTGCCTTTCCAAAAGGATCTCGATGAATGCGATGAATAATAGTCGTATCCTAGAAGTTTAACCCCATACCCATTTAACCACATAAACACACAAGGCATACAAAATACAAAGGCGTCCACTCCTATCGTACTAAACCTATGGTGACATACGTCACGTCCCACGAGCCCAATGTGTTCAAAGCTAGTTAGCTTTGATACCAATTTGTAACACCCTGAAATATCATACCAGAACATACCACAACCACGTATAACAAAACACAATTAAGTCATCTTTCTCATTGAACTATAGTTTAGAATTACAATTCCAAGGTCTACATATTGAGGACAATTCATGTCCATCACCAAGTTCAATAAGCTAGAAGACAATTCAAAAGACATTACCATTAAGGCATACAATAATTGAAAGTATTGTGTTAAACAAGAAAATAAATTCCAAATGCTCAACACAACAGCTTTAACTCTTCAAAATTATATATCCTTGAGCTATAGCTCCTAATGAAAAACAAAATGCAAACTCCGAATTACTACGATGGTGGCACATCACCAGTTCTTGAAAAGTCAGATAGGGTTGAGCTATATGCCCAGTAGAGATACATTTAACAAAGTATCTAATCATTTGAATGCTTACATGGCATAATTATAACTCACATATAACTCAGGATTAGAGTTTAAATAATTAAAATGGATAAATAAAACAAATATGCTCATTGCCAGAAAACCTTTATCAATATAGGGGAGTAAACAAGTCATGAATCCCTTTTAGGAGTCCCAACACATATACATATATACCTTTGTAATATAAACTATCCCCGTATTTACCGACTACAATACGGCAGGAAGTGGGCACCCAAAATCATCTATTTTTCCACTTTTGCCGACTATTATACTGCAGGACTAGTGGACACTCAAAAATATTTTTCCACATTCGTCCGGTGATATGCACAAATAGGGCAATTGGGCACCTTGACTCCCTGTGCGGGTACCAACGCAACACAAGTTCTCAAACCCGACTCTTTACCCCAGACTCATGCTCAATTTACCTCCCCTTGAACCATTTTTCAAAAGAATCAGTGTCCAATATCACAAGAAATAAATACAGAAACAGAATTTCTAATTTCATTTATATCCAAATCACAATCTCAATTCAACTATTACCATCCATAAATCCCATTCTCTAATCATTCATAGAATTCCAAGAACTAAAGGTAGTTTTGGTCACAATAGCATTATTTATCAAGATCAAAATTAGGGTTTCAATAATCTTAGGGCTTTCATTTTATTTTCATAAATATATCAGTTCTCAACATCAATAATCATATTATATGAAAGACTAAGTAAAATTTCAACAATAATTACATATAATTCCCCTTTTGTCAAATGCAAAGTTAACCTCACTCAATCTTTAAATCAAAGAGATACTAAGCTAAAATTAATGCTACCTTAAGAAAAGAGCATGTAAGCCAAGCTTCTAGGAGAATTCTTCACAAAGACAAAATCCAATTCGGTAGAGAGGATGATCTTCACATGTACTTCACTCCTTGTAAGTTATTTAGGCTAGATCTTAGACAAATATGAGAGATTTAGGGTAAGAAACTTAAGGTTTTTGAAAAAAGGGAGAGGTGAAAGAAGATAGAAAGAAAAAGGTGAAGAAATAATCTAGAAAGTGCCTTTTTAAATTGCGGATTTTGCGTAGACCGCTCAAGTGTAAAACGAGATACTGGGAGCCTTGTATCTTCGCTCGACCAACCATTCTCGAGCTATCCACCTTGACTTGCAAAACTTCTTGATACTCTCAATCTTCGCTCGAGCGGTATTTTCATCGCTCGAGCTGTCACCTAAAATAAAATGTCATATACAATCTCTCTCTCTCTCTCTCTCTTTTCAAACCCACACCATCTCTCTTTTTAAACCCTTTTTCTCACAACAGCCATAGTGGTGGTTACGGTAGAAATGAGCCTAAAAGGAAAATGAATATCTTATTTCATTGATTTACCAACTACATAGAATGATATCTTTATATACAAACCTATACAACTCAACTACTAAGTAACTATGATTACTATTAACCAAACCATAACAACTTTATCTAACTCTAGTTCTAACGAACTTGTTTATCCTAACTGATCTTGTCAACATGACATTTGGCTGAGTTGGTTGAGCCGTTGGCTTCACTATTGACTGAGCATGCCCCCTCAAGTTGATAGGAGAAGAATGAACCCGAAACTCGTCTTGCAAATAAATGAATTAAGAGGAGAAAAGTGGTTTAGTGAAGATGTCAACAAGTTGGTCCATGGAAAAAACGTGAGCCAGATAAAGCTTTCTAGAAGCCATCTTTTTTTCGAATATAGTGATACTCCAATTTGATGTGCTTGGATCTAGTATTTACACACACACATACACACAAAAAAAAAGAAAAAGAAAAAAGAACAAGGTTGTTGGATAAGGAAATGTCTGAGAGGTTATCACACCACAGAGTGAGAATAGGCACAGAAACATGAAAATCAAACAAAAGCATGCCAAGCCAACTTAGTTCAGCAACAGTGTGTGCTAAGGCTCAATATTCTGCTTCAGTAGAAGAGCATGAGACGGATGGTTGTTTTTTAGCAGCCCAAGATATCAAATTAGGATGTAGAAAGACATAGTGTGGATCTTTTATTAATAGAATTGCCAACCCAATCTAAGTTTGAGTAGGCATGCAAGGTGAGAGGCCCAGATGTAAATTAAAAACCATGACCAAGTGTCCCTTTGAGGTACCTAAGCAACCTTTTTACTGCTGCAAATTGACTAGTGAGAGGAACTTGAAAAAATTGACAAACATGATTCACAACAAATGCTAGATCAAGTCTGGTTATAATAAGGTACTAAAGAGCACCAACAAGGTTCATGTAGAGAGGGCTGAGAAAAATGAGGATCCGGAATGGAAGAATTTGATTTGAGAGCCATAGGTAAGCTATAAGGCTAGCAGTTTGTCATGCCTGCCTTTGCTAAGATTTCTGTGGCATAATTCTGCTGAGACAAAATATCCTGAAGCTGAGTGAGTGACAGAAACACCTAGAAAATAATTCTATAGGCCTAACTCTTTCATGGAAAAGAAACATGCATCGAGTAATGAGAGTAGAAACATAGGAAAAATCACTTCTAGTTAGGAGAATATCATCAACATAGATCAAGAGAATGATAATGGCGGTAGGA